GTGTGGGCGAGGCTCGTATCTCCTAGCTGTTTAGTATATGATTGTATGGTATGTGGTATTGTGGGGGAACTCACTAAGCTTCGTGCTTACAATTTACAGTTTTGTTTTCAGGTACCTCTTCATCAAAGGGGAAGGAGCTGGTGCGGTAGCGGCACATTATACACGCACATTGTTTTCCACACCATGAGTCATTATGGGATTTTGTACTCTGATATTTGATTGTTTTCACATTTCGGTGTTCAGTCACGATGTATGTTATGAAATGGTTTGATCAGACAATGTTTTATTTACAAATGTTTTCTAAAGTATCGATTTAAAAAAAATGAACGTGAAATTTGGGTCGTTACACATTTAGTCATTATTATATTTGTACACATTTAGTCCTTAATATTTTTTTTTTGTTTCAAAACAAGTCATTTCCGTTTTTGTACTCATTCAGTACTTATGAATGATTTTTTTAAACTTTTCTCGCGACATCTTGCGTGGAACAATCATTGATGAAGTGTGTGGGGTTGTTGATGTTTATGTGTAATGTCTCATTTTCACAAACAAAAAATTTTCATTTTTAAGTAAGGCAAAAGTCCATAATATAAATCCATTATTAAGAAAAAACATTTATTCCAAAATACATTTATCGAAAATCAGAGTAATATAAGAAACACGGAATCCTCAATACCATTGATGAGTGTGTACAATCATGTCTTCTCATTCCTACGATTAACGATAAAATCTGAAAACATAAACAACTGAGTAAGCACAAAGCTTAGTGAGTTTCCTTCAGAATACCAGATACAACATACGTATTATCATGCATAATGGGCCAACATTCTTCAGATTGGAATACCTTGGCTCAATCAGTCATCAGATTGGAATGCCAACATCCAACACGTCCAATTAGTCATCAGACTGTAATACTCAGGGTTTGTTAGCATGTCGCCTTAACCTAACTGCTCTTCTCGAGACTCCGTGCCTACGGATTACAGTCGGCCCACACCAGGTATCTTGGCCAACAAAATATAGCAGGACCACATATGACTATCCCACCATCATATGACTATCCCATATAAGATGTTATGAGAGAAACCTAAAAAAATCATTCATAAGTACTGAATAAGTATAAAAATAAAAATGTTTTATTTTGCAACAAAAAAATATTAAGGACTAAATGTGTACAAAAATATTAAGGCCTATATGAAAATTATATTACCCTATTAAGTCATTTACCAGCTAACCTGGAATAGCCGATCATAAGTACTAAATGTGTACAGTTTAACAAGTTGAAGGGGTAAATGTGGACGAAAAAAAAGTCGGTAACTAAATGTGTACAAATGAAAAAAAATATATTACCTTTTTAAGTCATTATCCCTCAAATTTATTAGAAACTAGATATTTTAAAATTCGGATTAGATAGTGTCGAATACTCTAATAATAGATTTTAAATATATTTTAAACAACTATTGGATTTTTTAGGATATGGATATACGGTTTACCTGGATTTGGATTGAGCATGCCCAAATTTGCAAAAATCCGATTTTGGATAATCTTTATTTTTGTAAAGATTTGGTTTCAAAAAATACTTCCATTGATTTGATAATGAGCCATTCATTCCGATATTTCTCTGCCACTTAGAGAAAAATTAGATTCTAAAACTATTGTAGAAATTTGGGTGTTAATAAATCAAGAGATATGGTGAATAAAATAAAAAAAACTGAATCAATTTTTTTTTAATTAAATCTCTATGTCACCAACATTTATAGAAGGATTCTCTTTCGAAAAAAAATGACTTAGAAGAGTAACTATCTCTTACCCGTGTTCATATATTGGCAACTTCTTTTTTGTACATAAAAAAAAAACTAACTTGTTTTACTTGTTTAAATTACATCAATATTACCGGCTAATACCAGTTTTAGCTGATATGGCTAAATCAATGCTTTCGTGGCATACACAAGATAATACGTGGCATCTATGTGGCATAGTACACATCACCTTATTATATAAAGGGTGTTATATGGTTCGTTTGTACGTTAAAGCCCTAGATTGACAATGGCTTCTTCTTCTGCTTCATATGTCTCTTCCAAACGCAATGTCGAATTGCAAGCTAACCATCCCTGTAAGTGTGACATGCCATCGTGTGTGAAGATTTCAAGAACATTTGAGAATCCCGGAAAAAAAAATCCGAGTTTGTCAAAATTCTTTGGTAAATATGTTTTTTTAATCACCCCTAACTAAATCTTCTTCTTTGTGTTCTCTTCAATTTAACCTTTTTTATCCTTTCCTTAAGAGTGCAAGAACTCCAAAATGTAATTTCTGGGAATGGATGGAAAAAGATGAGTACGAAGGAGAGAAGAACTGTGATTTGGAACAAATATACAACCTAACATTGAAGCTTGGAAATTTGGAAAACAAAATTAGCATATGCAGAAAGAAATTGGAAGAAGAGAAGAACTGTGATTTGGTTTCCAGACAAGAACTAAACAAAGTCAAGTGGAAGTTGTTTACTCATAAAGTTGCATTGTTTGTGTTATTTTTCTTGTATGTTAAAGATGTAGTTTTTAAAGTTTGATGTGTTCTTTGTATCTTGTTTGATGTATTCTGACTAAATCATGTACTTCATGGAGTTTTGTATGCAATGAAAGTTATGACTAAAGCATGTGTTTGAGTTAATGTAGCATAATTTTGATGTATCATGACTAAATTTTGATGTATAATACTTGATATATTATGATAAAATTGTATACAAAAATGTAAATGAACATGTGCAAAAGATGTTAAAGACACGGAATACAAATGGCATTATAAACATCACAAATGACATTACCAATATGTAACATTGATGTATCATGACTAAAGTTTGATATATAATGAACTTGTGCAAACACCTAAGTAAACATGTAATGTATACAAACATCTAAATAAACATGTACTTAAATAAAGATGTTAAAGTACATTACAATACAAAAGATTCCCAAACATACAGGAACTAATATGTTAAAGTATCAAACATTCCAAAAGATGTGTCAAGTTTGTCCCATTGTGCCAAAAGTTATTACAAGACCCAAGATTCCAAAACATGCATACCAAAAGTTGTGCAAAAATATAAAAAAGACATTAAATTTAAATCTCCAGTGGGTGTTCATTACTGCTTCCCTCTTTCCTCCTTATGTTCTTCCCTAGCATAATCTTTGTAATTCTTTCTGAACTTTTTCTTGTCCTCTTCCTAATTTGAATTTCTGCATTGTCTTGAATTTCCTATTCCATATTATATTGAACTTCTTCTTGAATGTTAACTTGAATTTCATGTTCCACTTCATCTTGAATCTCTTCTTCAATGTTATCTTGAACTAAAGGAACTTCAATATTAGCATCCACTTCTGGTACTTCAATGTTAGCTTCCACATCAACTTCATGAACTTCAATGTTAGCCTCCACATCAACTTCAGGAACTTCAATGTTAACCTCCATTTCAGGTACCACGTCACTTGTAGCTTCCACTTTAATGTTAGCTTCCACATCACTTCCAATTCAGCTTCAAGGTCTACTTGAACATCAACTTTACCTGTAAGAGGGAAAAAGTTCAAAAATGGCACACAAGTGTAATATATTAGATAACTTAGCACCATACCTTGTTTCTTAGGTTTCTTTTTTTAGAACCTGAAGTAGATGATACATAATTTGGTCTTTGAGAACATGTTGATCTATTATGCCCTCTTTCCCTACAAATGGTACATCTAAAGACCATTCCCTTTTTTGAGACTGTATGTTTTGTTCCTTTAGCTTCTATCTCAACCTGATCTAATTTCCTTTTCATTGTTGGTCTTCCAGGTAGCCTTCTTTTTTAGGGGGTAAAAGTTTGGTGTAATCCACTTCAGGCCACATAGCACTACAGTTCAGTGGCCTAATGTTATACCTGTAACAACTTGCATACATTGATATAACACTACTGTTTTGTGGAATTGTAGATCCAACAGCTCTCCATAACAGCTTCCTAAATATTTTCCCCTTAAATCTTTTCTGGAAATTAGCATAGAGGTGCCTAGCACATTGCCTATGCTCTGCAGCTGGAATCCTTTCCTTCACATCTTCAACTAATACATATAATCAATACATACAAAGCATAAGCTAAAACATATTAAGTATGGAAAATAACAAACAGTGAAGTTTGAACATTACTTTGTGTTGGTCTGATATTATGGTTAGTCCATGTCCAACTCCCATTCCAATATCATCAATCAGAAGATCAAGAAACCACTTCCATGTTTCTTTATTTTCCACCGCAACCATAGCTCATGCAATAGAATATATGTGGTTGTTTGTATCCCTCCCAATGGTTGCAAACAACTGACCTCACCCTTTAGGAAACAACCATCTACTCCAATTACCTTCCTACAACCCTCTATCCATCCATCCTTCAAACCTTTTAGACACACATAAAACTTTGAGAAGTATGTTTCTCCATCAAGCATCACATCCACCTCTATCTTAACTGGTGATCCAGGATTTTTACTTTTTAGCTCTTCTCTATAGCTTCATGTTTTGGCATAATGCTCTATTAAAGTACCTTCCATCTACTAAAATGCATATTTCCTAGCATTTATGCACTGTCCAACACTTGCTATCAGGTTAAACCTTTTACTGACCTTAGCTTTCAATTTCCTAATGCCCATCTTTGGTTTCTGTAATATCTCATTCATGAAATGAGTTCCAATCCAATTGTAGCTTACAATGGAACTAAATTTGAATACTCTTGAACAATTATGCCTATCAATTAAGGACTTAATCTGAAAAGACCTCTCATTCTTCATCCATGTTGCCCACAACCTAAAGGGACAACTCTTATTCTTCTTATTCTTCTTATGTTTACAACATTTTGCCAACAGCTTTTGATGATCATTTTTTTCATACCATAAATCATACCCATTCTTGATGGCATAGTTGGTTGGACATAGCTTTAATTCAAGAGGGTTGGAGAACTTCATACATGAAACTAGGACCATTTTATCCTATTCTTGATTCTCATCAAAGACAGGGAACACAACCTCATCATCTTCATCACTGACATCATCATCATCATCATTTACTTCTTCTTGATTGGTATTAAGAATGGGTTTACCACACAACTTGTTCAAAAATTCATCATCAACTATTTTGTCAAAAGTATATACCTCTTCATCAGGTTCATGCTCATATTCTATTATATCTGAAATATGTGAGTCTGTATCATTAATTTCTACCAACTCAGACACCTCATCATCTGTTAACATCTGCTCATCGGCCCAGTCAATAACAGGTTCTTTTTGGTGGTCAATGTAGACATTCATTCTTAGCTCATTCTTAGCCATGTAACCATCTTCAATAAACTCAAAATAATCAACATCATTGTCAATTCTTCTAATACCGTCTTCCAATCTTTCATGAGTACGACAATGGTACAAATTATCACAGCTTCGTCTTGTCAGCTTTGAAACCCACAACACAAATTCTCTATAGTTCATGCCACCAAAATCCACATCACGAACTGACATTCTCATAGGGTCTAAGTACACTAACGGGTTTGGTGCAAACATTCTGTCATAGTGAAAATCTACAGTGAGATATGTACCGTTAGGTGATTCACGATTTCGAGTCCTAACTTCAGTTCCAAACAATGAGCTCGTACTACTTTGATCAAGTGATTTCTCAGAAAAATTAATTAATTGGGAACGATTTGGGGAAGGATTTGGAGTATCTGTAAAGAACCCTAATTAAATCAGGTTGATTCACCCTGATTAAATGAAGTCGAATCCGGACAAAGGGTGTAATAGACACGTCATATGCCACGTAATTTCTTTTAAATGAGTTGATTTGACTTACCGGTTAAAACTGATATTAGCCGATAATATCGGTGTAATTTAAATAGGTAAAACAACTTAGTTGCTTTTTTATGTATAAAAAAAAATAAGTTGTCAATATGTGAACATGGTAAAAGGTAGTTACCCTCCCAAGTCATTTTCCCAAAATAAATAAATAAATAAAAATAAAAAACATTTATACCATGATTTATGGAGATATCACAAATAAAAATCAAAATTAACTCCCGGGAACATTTTAAAATTTCTATTTTCATAATTGTAACCATATCAAAAAGTTATCAGTCACAACATAGTTGGTAGTTACTCCAATGAATTATATTGGGAAATTAAATAGCATCCTAACTTTTATTCCTACAAATCTTCTTACCAAATTAAATGATAACTTGTGTAACATTTAATGCTCAGTTAAAAAAATTTAATGATATTTTAGTATACTAATTTCACAAGTGCCATCGTTTAAACGGGTAATGGATTGGTAGGAATAAAAAATAGAAGAATATTTAGTTTCTCACCATTTAAATGGGTAGGAGGTATTTCTCCGGTGAGATTGTTAAACTGAAGAAATTGAGTATGTAACACCTTCAAATTTCGAAGGCTTGCCGTAATTTCTCCATTGAGATTACAACCTCTGAGGTCTAGTAGTTTTAGTGATTTGAATGAACCAAACACCAGCATAATTTCTCCTTCATAACTGTTGGCATACTCGATGAGAAGCTGCTCAAGAGTCGATACATATGATAAGCTCGCTGGAATCCTCCCATAGAGTTCCTTTTTTTACAATCCTAAAATTTGTAAACTCTGAAACTCCGATAATCTTCTGGAATCTCTCCATTGAAGAAATTACCTCCGAGATAATAAAAAAAAATTCAGATTATTCAACTTCATAAACTCCACCGATAAACTCCCGCTAAAAGTATTGTTGTAAACTTCGAAAGCTTCCAGCTCAGCCTTTCCCGCCACAATCTTTCCCAGAAGCTCCCCAGTGAAAACATTACTACAAATGTTAATGAATCTAATCGATGTCAAATTAGACATTTCCACCGGAAGTGGACCGGTGAGGCTATCCAATACAAACGTTAGATTGACCAGTTTGTTCAGAATTCCGTTCTCCGACGGAATAGTTCCGAACATAGGAACGTAAGATATCGTCAACGACGTGACATGAAAGTTTGCATCACATGAAACTCTGGAAAATAAACAGTGTGAGTTTTCGACTTTCCAATCGTCCAATATTCCAGAGCTGTTTGATGCCACCATTGAAACTTTGAGCTTCATTAAAGCAACATAATCTGAAAACCCATTTGAACATTCAAAATTGATGATGAAGAAGAAGAAAACATGAAGAAAAACAAATTTCAATATCTATGTTTTTGGGTAGAAGTACGTAGAGAAAAGTTGATTAGTGATTGTATGGTTTTTATAGGATGAGAAGAGACGGTGCATGATTATGGTAAATCATTTGCATCTTGTACGTTGTGCATTATAAGTTGTATGTGATTTGAGTTTTGTAGTTTCAAATCGGACATTGAGTAGAAGAAGGCCACCATATTGTGAATAGAATATCATTTGAAGAGAATCGTACATATCTACTCACAAAGGGTATGAGTAGGGCTAAACACTTTCAACATGCTAATGAAACATTTGTAGCACCTGGTTTCCGGTATGTGAATTTTATTTGAGCATTGCCCTAATTTAGCCTTGGACTCGGCGAGTCATAGGGTCCGACTCGCCGAGTAGGGACGAGACTCAGGACACGTTTAAGTGGGCGACTCGGCGAGTCCATATCTTGGACTCGGCGAGTCACCGCTGCTGGATGAAACCCTAAGTTTCAAGGGTTTGCACCCTATTTAAACCTTCATTCCGCCCCAACTCGTCCCCATTCACCCCCAGAACTCCCCCAACATCGTTTTCCCTTGTTTCCTTGAGAAATTGAAGTGTTCTTGGTGTGTTCTTGAAGGTTTTGAGGAGAAAGAGGAGTAGATCAAGAAGAAGGGAAGGAGATCAGCCATCTTTGTGTCATTTCAACATTTTCCTTGAGGTATATCTCGTTTTTCCCCTGTTTCTATGCTTAGGATTTCATTTGGGACACCCTTGAGCAATTCTTCAAGCTTGTTTGTGCTTAATGTTTCGTAATAAGTGGATTAACCTTTAGATCTAGGCAAGATTGAGCTCCAGGAGCTCAGATCTGTGAGCTTTATGGCCCCATGTGGCTTGTTCATCCTAGATCTACCCTTTTGAGGCATTTTGCACCCTAAAATCCACATTAGTGAATATCCACACGTAAAGTTGGAAACTTTACGTGTGATTTGGGTCCTAGAAGTCCAGATCTATGAATGGCATGGACTGAAATCGAGTAAATCTGTGTATTTGGTGGATGCATGGCGACGACTCGGCGAGTCGTATAGGTGACTCGGCGAGTCTGGTCGCGAGTCACCGATTTGGTCCCTTCATGATGTGTCGAGTTGAGCCGTGAGTCACAGGGGGTGACTCGGTGAGTTGGGAGCTGAACTCACCCATGTTAGGACTCGGCGAGTCAATGCCCTGACTCGGCGAGTCCAAGGCAATCTTCATAGATCAAGAACAGACTCGGCGAGTTGTTCATACAACTCGGCGAGTCTTAGCATAAAGTGTTCTTCGGATGAAGATGAACTCGACGAGTTGTTCATACAACTCGGCGAGTAGGATGAAGGAGTTGAATGACAGTTAGAAGGTGAACTCGTCGAGTCATAGCCCGACTCGACGAGTAGAACCAGGGACCCAGGACAATGGTTTGCTAGGGACTCGGCGAGTGGAGATCCACTCGGCGAGTCGGGTCAACTGAAAGTTGACTCTAGCATTGGCTTAGAGCTAGACCGGGGTAAAATGGTCATTTTACCTAAAGGACAGTTAGCAGTGTTTGATTGAGTATGTTGTGGGAATTGCAGCCGGAGGACTCCCGGAGCAGCAGCAGTCAGTTAGTTCCCGATCAGTTCAGCAGCTACTTTGAGGTGAGTTACCTTCCAGTAGTGGGGTCTAAGGCCACACGGCCGGCCCACCAGTAGGAGATGTATGATAGATGATTGTCTTTGTGATATCATCTAGGTTTGCTATCACCTGTTATGTTGCATGCTATCATGATACGTTATATGCAATAGTAGTAGAGTTCGGTTGTTAGGACCGCCGGGTAGTCAGACACCCCAGAATTATCTGACTGTATGTGATGGTATGCTTGTATGTTGGTCTATTATGTTATGCGATAGAGGTAGCGGAAGGGGACTAGTCCCCAAGGATCGGTTGTTAGGACCGATGGGTAGTCAGCACCCCGAATGGCTTGACATGGGTAGTCAGCACCCCAGAATGGCTTGACACGGGTAAGACGGCACCCCAGAATGGCCGTATGGGTAGGTCGGCACCCCAGAATGGCCGTACCGGGTAGTCAGGCACCCCAGAATAGCCTGGCAGTGCGTATGTTATGTGATTGTATGGTATGTGGTACGTTGGGGGAACTCACTAAGCTTTGTGCTTACGTTTACAGTTTTGTTTTCAGGTACCTCTGCATCGAAGGGGAAGGAGCCGGCGCGGTAGCGGCACGTCATACACACACTCTTCGGTTTCCGCATTTACGAGATTTACTGGGATTGTACTCTGATATTTTGATGGGATGTATGGTTTGACCTTTTAGAACATGGTTACGATGTGTTATGGTGTGATCAAACAATGTTTTTATTTATTAATGTTTTCTAAAGTAATATTTTAAAATGAAATTTTCGGACGTAAAAATTGGGTCGTTACAAGTTGGTATCAGAGCCCTGGTTTGAGGGATTCGGACACGCCTTCGGGAGTGTTTGGACTCAAATCGAGGGATTGAAAGATTTTCCAAAAAAGAAATTGTTCTTTAAAACCCGAAAAAGAGTCATAAGAAAGAGCAAAGTGTGTGACGTGCGCGACCGGCCGAGCTCAAGTAAGTATTCCCCATAGTACCCATACAAGTTTATGTTATGTTTATCAGCTTACGTAGAACTGCATGCTAGAATAGGCTAAGGATCTAGGAGTGATGCCTTATGTGCCTGCTTATGTGTTACAGCTTTATGAATATTGCATGCTAGAATTGAGTAGACAGCAGTAGGATAGCCTGTTTAGGTTATGCCTGAAAGTATGAGCTTAGCATCCTATGTTAAGTGTCGTTTCTTGTTATAAGAATAGTTTTGGCTTGAGTCTGTTTTTTTTCCTTATCCGAATGCTGCTTGCTTCGTGCTTGGTGGGATTCTGAGTAATGGGAGTTAGCCACTAGGTAAACACGTCACACCACATGTAATCAGGGTTGAATAATCCCAAAGTATTGGAACTGGCCCTATTGCGCAGCTCTTGTTTGAGTCCAACCGTTGTAGGGACGGATCTTTTACTTGAAGGATTATCTAATCCTCATCACATGTGATGGTGTTTAGGTGGTGGCTAACTGGCATTATGAGGAGACCTACAGCAGCTGAGGACCAGTTGTGTTGAACTTGAGTTTTCCCTAGGGCAAGCCTAGGATGAGAATAACAGAGAGTAGCAGTAGTAAAGGGGAGCTGGTGGAGTCGAGGAATTCCTCGAGAAGGTACGGATAGATGTGGAAGGTAGTATGGGCCCGTACTACTGAAAGCAGAGGATCCGTACCCGAGCCGAGGAAGGCCAAGACGAGACCAAGGAACCTGTAAGTAGTTGAGATCCCTCAGAAAGTAGCAGTACCACTAATGATTATTATGATGATTTGCAGAATGGTGGTACTTCGACCGAGACCGACAGATGGCGGGTCAGGAGAGGGGTCAGGTTCGGGATCAGGCACCGAGCCGATTGATGAGAGGCTACGTGAGTTCATCACGTCGGAGATCACTAGGGGCATCCTTGAGTCGACCCCCATCATCTTTGGGTCGATCAAGGAAGGGATCGTGGAGTTGATGGAGGATCGCCTACGGGCATTCAGGAGCGACTTGGCCTCTAGCCAGTCGGGATCTCGCACACTGTCCTTCAAGGACTTCAGGGGCAGTGGTGCGCCGGATTTCCATGGGGTGAAGGACCCCATTGTCGCCAGGCGATGGATTGCGGATATTGAGTCCGCCCAGTTGACCAGCTTCTGCCCTGAGGGGTCGAAGGTGAGGTACGCAGCAGGGTGTTTACGGGACCGAGCCCGGGATTGGTGGGAGTCAGTGGGTGACTCGTTGGGAGCCTCGGCTATCGAGGCAATGACCTGGTCGGACTTTGTGGCTAGGTTCAGGGCGGAGTTTGCACCAGCGGTCGAGCTTCAACAGCTGGCCAGGGAGTTTCTAGACATGAGACAGACGACAGAGACCGTGGCGGAGATCACCGCCAAGTTTCGGGAGAGGGCTTTATTGGTGCCCCAGTATGCAGGTGACGAGGATATGAGGAGGACTCGTTACCATGATATGCTACGAGCTGACATTCGGGAGCATGTTAGCTTTTCGGCCTGCCCTACCCTGGACTCCATGATTGCCAGGGCTAGAGAGAGAGAGATAGATTTGGAGCACATCCGGAAACGGAAACTTGAGGACGGTCAGGCAGCAGGGGCTTCGGGGAAGAAGCCCAAGGGATCAGACGGGAGGCCGAAAGGCCAGTCGGGACCGAGCCGCTACAGGAGGTGCGGCAGGCCGCACGAAGGGGCGTGCAGGATGGGATCGTCAGGCTGCTACAAGTGTGGCAAGTTTGGGCATATCAGCAGGGATTGCACTGCTCCTGCGCCAGTTATTCAGACATCGGAGTTGTTGTGTTTCCACTGCAACCAGAGGGGCCACAAAAGGCCAATTGCCCCATGTTGACAGTTTCAGCACCAGTGAAGGCGCTAGCTCCAGCGACCCTGCGGATCACGGATGGCCGTCAGGGCAAGGCAGAGGCTCCAGTGGTGAGGAGTCGGGCATTTCAGTTGACTGCCGAGGAGGCACGCGCCGCGCCCGATGTGGTGACGGGTATGATTCCTTCCTTCTATCTTTTATTTTACGTTGTTATGATATTGATATGTGCTCCGTATGTATACATGTGTATTAGGATCGTTCCATGTGAACGGCATCCCGGTTCAGGTATTGTTCGACTCGGGTGCATCCCGATCGTTCGTTTCTCTTGCTCTTAGCAAGAGATTTCATGAGACTTCAGGCGAGTTAGATTGCCCGTTAGAGGTAGAGATTGCTGACGATCGATCGGTGCGAGCATCGATGGTGTTTCGAGATTGTGTTCTGCGACTGTTTGAGGAGCGTTACCTGGTAGACTTGGTTCCCATTCCATTGCGT